GCAGATGCTAGACATGTGAATGAGAAGCAGAGAGTCCTAGAAGCACAGTTTCAAAACAGGAAAAAGGCCTATGAAGTAAAAARCCATTATCATAGGTTACCAATACTGTTACGAAAAAAACCAGAAGGCTGGAAAGTGTCCCAAGATATAGTAAAAATCTCTGATTGTAACAAAAATCAATAAAAAGAAACAGCTCAGAACTAAGTAATAGGTAGATGTAACCTTGAGTAATCTTGGGAGAAAAGGTTTCAACAGTCACAACTAAAGACAAACTATAAAAGCCTTGTGGCCCTGATAGGTCTTTTTGTTTTGGTTTGCAGGTGAAAGACAACAATGCAGAAAGAAGCAACCAGAACCAGACCTACTCTTAAAACTGTTTTCACTAATATTCTTTTAAGTGTTGTGTACATACCAAAAGGAATCTAGGAGAGGGATCAAGAAGTTAAAAAGTTTGAAGCAGAGGGGAAATTAATCAAGTGCTGTACAGTACTTGAGCAGTTAAATTTGAGAATATTGTGGTAAGCCTGTTTATATATGTTTAAGAGGTTTTGATAGTTGACAAGTATAATCTTATGATTTAAACAGCACAGAAGTAATACTGAAGAAAATGGCATAGGTAAGTATTAAGGAATACTCATTTTTGTTTGACAAGCAAGCCTAAAAGCTATATTCTTGTGTTGCTAAAAATCAATATGAAAATCCATTCAACTGTAATATTGTTTATACTAATCGAGTTAAATATTGTCTAACTGTTGCTGGTTACATGTGATGTCAGTGTCAGTGATATACTGTCAGTGATAACATTGTGCTGTGGGATGGACATCCTGCTCCAGGACACTCAAGAGGCAACACTCTCTTGTCACAGCACAGCCTCGTCATGAAAGATATTGTCAGAGCACAGTCTCATCAATGAATTACCAGTCATTATGATGAAGCTGGCAGATAGCTTTAAAAGTGTAATTCTCACTGATAAACCCTGATAACCAGAAATGCTATGGGTTGTTATTTACTCAGTCTCACATTGGTGTGTGATTGGTCCAGCTAGTCTTGGAGTCCACCTATCTGGACGTCTCTCTCCAACGTGGCTACAAGGATATTATGGGAGACCATGCTGAATGCCTTTCTCAAGTCAAGACAACCAACCTCCACCCTCTGCCATCATCCACTGAACCAGTCCTCCCATCATTTTGCCATAGAAAGCCATCAGCTTGGTTAGGCATCATTTGCACTTAGCAAATCTATGTTTATAGTTCCAAATCACCTTTGGTTCTTCACATGCCTGATAATGGCTGTCCGAAGAACTTCCTGAAGGACAGTGTGGCTCTCCAAACTGAAGGTCCCTGTATGGTTGTTGGTCTTTTCAAGGTTGAGCGGGACATTTGCTTCTTTTTTTTTCAGTTATCAGGGACTTTCCCTGACTGCCATGACCTTGCCATTCTTGGTGTGAGGACAGGATGCTCAACTGCCTCTCTCTTTCACAGACAGGAACCTTAAGTTTTTGCTACTTCAAATGGAGACTAATATGAATGACACCTCCTTCCTTGATCAAGACATTTAGCTACTCATCCCTGTTTTTAACCACTTCCATGTTGCCTGCTCTTGATCATCTTAATTCTCTGGAGAACAAATGTGGCCTTCACAGGATGTGTAACAGAAGAGGATTATTCAAAGTCTCTTCATGTTTAGTTGAGAACAGAGTGAACAGTTAAACTTGATGTGTGGTTGACAACATATTCGTCTCTGAGATATATAAGTGCATTTGTATGGACATGTATGAGTATATGCCCGCAGATGCTGGCCAGATGTAGAACTGGCCAGGGAGAGATGGCAGAACATGCTKGTTGAAGAAGTGATAGGTCCTTTCACCTGGTTATAGGTGGAGAGCTCAGGGCAGCAGTTCCTAAGCTGTTCTGTCTACAGCCCAGCCTTCAGGGCTTTGGTTCCTCTGTTGCTTCTATGGCCMGGTTCATGGCTCCACATATGGCAGGTCTTCTAAAACATCCTCATGACTCTCAGCACCTTCATTCGGCAAGCACCAAAAGGGTACTTATCTGGTTATGGGGGGATGCTGAAGACTGGACTGAAGCGATCTCTGTGGTATACAGGTTTTATTAAAGCCAAAAAAGAAGTGGCTTGACAGCTACTCTGAKCTCGAGGGATGTAGCTAACAGTGTGGAGGAAACACTGAGAAAGAAGCCGAGGATCAGACAGGAAATGCTGCCAGCATCTCGCYCCAGTGCTGGGAGGTGTTTATGCACACAGAATGATCCAGAAGGATGAGAGTGGCAGCAATAACCATGACAATGTCAGCAGCATGGCACCAGCTCCCGCAGTGATTATTTTTTCCCTCAGGGACACTTTTCAGCACCATCAGCATATGCCCCTCTTTATGATGTGAGCAGTTGACCAAACAGTAGTCCCTGTTTGCTTTTATGTTTCTCAAAGCAAAGCTAACCCGGTGTAACTGCTTTCTCTGAAAATCACTTAGGGTGGGACTAGCTGTAAAATGACAGTATTTTTTAGGAGTGTCTGTCCCTCSCTCTCCATGTGTCTGTGGAGCATTTTGCAAAGGTCTGTCTCTCTACCCTAATACCCCAGCGTTGGATATTCAAATCATAGCAGGAGCCAATGCTGACTAAAACCAAAGGTATCTCATTCCAATAAACACACTGCTATTTCTGAGGTGTGACTCAGAGCCTTTCAGTTGGGTGTCAACGTGTGTTATTTGCAGAAAAATAAAATCGACATTAATTAATTCTGCTTTTTATATAAGTTTCTGTCTTTTCCTGCACCAGATCATGAGTGAGGCACAAGAGGAGAACAGCTCAGAGAGACCCAGCCAGGTTTGGTTTGAGGACCTCTTTCCCACGACTTGGGCTTCACAGTGGGGCTTTCCATGAACAGTCATGTGCCTGGTGCAAGAAAATGAGAAGCAAACCACACACAATCCAAGGGAAAGACAGAGAAACGTGGAGCTTATGGCAAAGGATAGAGGACACATGAAACAAAGCAACATGAGAAAGAGGTATCCCACTAGAAGGAAAGAGGTAAAAGACTCATATTGTCAACTTCCCACTGGAAGGAGAAAAATATTTTCCCTTGAAATGCTTCAGCCTGTTCTCTTCAGTCTATTTGGCTGACAGACCTTTTATAGAGTCTTTATAGCTCAGTGTTCAGGTTCTTGTAGCCATATCAGCCAAGAGAATTATTATTATTATTATTGTTATTATTATTATTATTATTATTATTATTATTATTATTATTGTTATTTAGATCTCCTCTTTACTTCTTTAATGTCTAGCTCAACAAAAAGCAAGCTGCATCAACACTTAAGCCTAGAAAACGTGATTGTGCTTTTTTACAATGTATGAAATTGCATAAGCATAAAGAGCAGTATTCAGCATCTGACTGATGTAAGCTGTCAGCCAATATTTAACTTTCCAGGTGAGATTAGATTTAGCATTTCACTTAATATAAACATAAATGATTCAGTACAATGCACTTATTTAACAGGCAGGTGCTTACAGCCTTGTACTGGCTGGAGGCTAACTAAAGTTTAAGATAGCACTTTTCTCTCCAGGAGTATTGTAATATTATCCAGCGGAGTTTTAAAATCTGATTGTTACTCTGAATCTCATCAGAGAAGGACAAAAAAAAGGTATGTTTCTGTTAGCAATTTTTAATTTCTTATTAAAAAAAAAGCTCAGTATTTTTTGTCCTCAGTTAAAGAAAAAGTAGAGAGATTTAGAACTTTAGAACTTAAAAAGTTTTGGGACAGTCTAGATTTATTGTTTATTTTTAGTAAGTATATAAGYGTACAAAGAGATATAGATGTGTATGTATCTGCATGTGCCTGTGTGTATGTCTTGTTCTGTAGTGCTGATATTATTAGGCTGGCCCAAAAAGCAGAGGAATAGCTAAACTTAAGAACATCGATAGCTAAACTTAGGAACATGCAAATTTGAAAGACACAGTAATGTCTTATATGTGAGCTGCTCACCAAGACTGAAGTAAGCTCATCATTGCTTGAAGATGGTACTGAGATTGAGTGAGTTTTTGTGGAAGTTTTGCTCCATGTTCTAGGTCTTGGTAGCCTACAGCTTCAATCACTCCTCACCGATTTTTGAAGGCTAGTAAGGTACAATGTGTTCACACCTTCCTCTCCATATAGGAAATGCAGAAAAGGATAGCATTTTTTTTTTCTTCTTAGGAGCCTTTTTGCTGGAGTTAGTGCATGAGTTTCTCTCCTGATCTAGCCCAATGTGAGTGGGACCAGATGGATGAGCATGGCTCCATGGATCAGAGGAATATTTAGATTGACAATTAATCTGTTGCTAAGCAGGTGTTGTCCATCCATGCATTGCTTTATTCAAGGATCCATAGCCTGGGAGCCTCAGCTGGGTTCCTTTCCTACCCTTTGACCCTCTATTGCTACACTATCAGCACTGAAATCCAGCCTTAGACAAAGACTATTGGAAGCTGCAACTCCTGGAAGGCCTTGGTGTGGAAATGTCTGTAACAGGGTCTGCTGGGTCAGTCCCTGTGTGGGAGCTCTGAAGGAGAAGTGTATTGGAGAGGAATGTTTCCAGTGCGATGGAGGTCTTATTCATGGTTTTACAGAAGCACCTGGGTGAGCTTTGGAATAGCTGGGATGGGCATGGGAAAGATAGAGCTTTACAGCATATCTAGCATCCTCTCTTCCTTTGTGAGGATGGGCCATGGTCAATGAGCTTTACTGAGGAGTCTTTGGCCTCCCACAGTAATGACCTGAGTGAAGAGAGGAGTAAGACTTCCYTGGATTTCTGAACAACTATTGCACTCAGAAATGTGTACCATTAACTAATCTAAAATGGGCACTAAGTTTTCACCATCAAGTGGCAGGTTTAATCTATTACTATCGTTTGTCAGAATGCAGACAAAAGAAATCAATGCAACTGTTATATTACAGACATTCAATTAAAAAAAGTATCATTTGTCCTTAGTCGCTGTCACCAGGAAGGATGGCTGAAATACGAAATTTCACCCAAGCAGTGCAAGACATTTTCAAGAAAACATTTCTCACTTACATGAATGACTGGAGGAAAAACATGACCGAAGCAGCAGATGAATTGCAAGCTAAGGTTGATGCTGAAAACTTTGACTATGTCATCCTTTATTTGATGGTAATGATTGGGATGTTCTCCTTCATCATTGTGGCAATCTTGGTGAGCACTGTGAAATCGAAGAGGAGAGAACACTCCAAAGATCCCTATCATCAGTACATTGTTCAGGATTGGCATGAAAAATATAAAAGCCAGGTTCTGAATCGAGATGACTTCAAGAGTGTTGTCCATGAAAACTTTGGTGCAAGAGAAAAAAATAGCCCTGGATCACCCTGACGTTTTGGAAACATCAGAAATGATGAAATCATAAAGCCACATATAGGGAATTCACTGCAATTATAAAAATGGGTATAAAACTGTTTATTAAATTAACAGACAGGTCAAAGTAGGATAGAGTGCTGAGGAAACATTAAATCAACAGTGAAAACTCTGACAGGGCTGTCTGSAGGAACATTCAAGAAAAATGCATTATTGTGCTTTGATGTTCTATTCTTCGAAATAAATAAATAAATACCCAAATTTTTAGCATTTTTTTTTTTTTTGAAATTCAGATGCAATTCAGGTATTCTCACCTTAGAATAACTAGCATGTGCAAAAGTGTCAACTGAGATCCAAACTACACGGTCCATCTTAAAAACAACATAAAACTGTACAAATAACTACCAAGACCCCTCCAACAACACGCTATGGTATGAATCATAAGAGGTTACCTGCACACACATTCAAGCCAAACTGTCACTCTAATGATGTAGTCTGGCTCCCATTTTGTCTTCCTTATTTGTAACTGCAAAGACTGACTCATGGTCTTCTCAGGAGGCTTGCTTTACAGCAACAGAACTCCTGAAGTGGCAGTCTTATTCTGAGGACTTGCACAGGTTTTGCAGGGCAGCCTCCACAGGTTCATCAGCTACCTTCAAGTCTGTATCTGGCCATCTTGGCTCTTCTGCTGCTACTCAGTTCTCCAAAGTTCCGTCTACCTGCGATGGAAGTTGGGTTATGGAGGCTTTGGTTACATCCCTAGCAGCCAGTGCTCAGTGTAAACCACTGAGATCTTGCTCTATGACTTTCAGAGATGGGATTTTTATACTTAGCTATCAAGGCTGACCCAATTTCTGATTCATAAGGATTTCCCATTTTGGATACTGGCTTCCACTGGCTGGGAAATGGGCGCTCGTGATGATTTTTATTTCCCAGTGCTACCAAAGCACCATGATGCTGCTTCTCAGGCAACAATTACAAGCAGATTTGATATTAGAATATGTTTCCTTTTGTAAGGCTCTGAGTTTAGCTCCTATTCATGTTGCCAGACTAAAACCGTTTAAGCCAAAAGTTCCCGTGCTGGGTGTTTATTTTGTGGGCTTGTTTGCTTTTAGAATGCTTTGGCTGAAACATGTTTGATGCTGCTTTTCCAACAGCATTAAATGAGAAAAGCAAAAGAAATGGACTTCTTTTATTGGGAAGCTTTGTCTTGTTTTTCAGTCTGCTCCTGAGATCTAGCATCACAGTTGCTGTCATGYTCCAAATATGCCTTTTACTGGCATAGTTATAAGCCTTTGAATAATCTCTGTCCATGAGTGTTAGTGAAGAGTTGTTAGGTCGCAGCAAAATTTACTGGTTAGTCAGACTCCACCATGCATCCCCTCTTGCCTTCTACCTCCCCTTGGTGACCTGTGGGTGTATGTCAGCTGTTTTGGTGATGCTCAACAACTACATTGCAGGAGTCTCCTTAACTGTTACTCTTGGAGCCCATGGGCTGGAATAGTGCTGCTCATTATGCTGCTCATTTTCAGGAGCTCAAACACTGAGGAGCTCACTGTTTCCTAAGCAAATGACACAGCCTGAATATTTAGCTCTGTTTGCCTAATGACAAATAGCAGGGCTGATAATTACACTTTACACTGCTGTCCTAGAGGTCCCTTCCAACCTTGAATATTCTGTGATTCTGTGAAATCGGTTCCTCGCTCCCTGAGGAGGCTGCCTGCAGGCCTGGGAAGGTGAAGGAAGGTATGAGTGAGGTATGTAAAGTGCTGCTTTCTACTGGCAGTAGCCAGGACTGTGCAGATTTACCCATCTGCATTGGGCAAAGAGCTGCAGGAAACCAGTAGCTGCWGCAGAGGGGAGGCAGCACCAGTGAGCGGCAGCCTCACTCCTGCATTGCCCCTTGGGCAGGGAGAGCCTCTGCCCCCCAGCACTGGGAAACACAGTGGGACCACAGGTGTATCCATGCCATGTGCTGRCATGGGCACAGGCAGGATTTGGCCCTAAAGGCTGCCTGTTTGCAAGACCGGCACAGCTTCTTTGAGGGTCTGCATCACTGGACACAGAAGCCTCCTAAGAAATGAGCAGCTTATCTGTTCATCATCTGCTCTCCTCTGTGGTTTCGCTTGAGGCTTCCTACTTCCAGGGACTGCTGTTCTGCAGAAAAACATGTTTCGAGGGGAGGGGTACGGAGGGCAGCTGCAGAGCGACTGCGCTCTTCACCAGGAGCCCCCATTGTGCTCTTCACCAGAAGCCCCCGCCAGCTGGAGAAGCACCATATGTCTGAAATAGCACCAAGGTGGCAGCCAGCAACAAAGCAGTTGGGTTTGCTTTCACGTGGCACATCAGACCCTCCCCACAAGGGCTTTTCCAACTCCTGGGGGCCCTCAGGACACATGTGCGCACTGCCACCTCATCCCACYTCTGCAGCGGTGCCACGCAGGGGAGGAGGCAGCCCCAGAACCACCAACACCACGGGGGTCCCGCGTGCGCCCTCGTGGCCCTTCAGCCCCGTCCTGGCTGGAGGGAGAGGCGGTACAGTGTGGTGGGGACACAAATTTCCGCCAAAAAGAAAGGGGAGGTTCCCACCATCCTTTCCTTAAAGGGGGCTGGGGAGGCTAAATGCCACTGCGAGAAAAGAGGAGGAGGGCAGGCTGCCATGGAGAACCTCAGCACTGACATGCACTGAACCCCGTATGTCCCGCTTTTCCTTGCCGTGCTGTTTCCTTCCTCCATCCTCCCCCAAGGTGAGCGCTGGCCTCCCGGCTCCGCTCGTGCATGGCCAGGCCTCCCCTCCCGCAGCGGCTGCCGGGAGCTGCCGCTCTTGGGAGATGTAGTTTGCCGCCAGCCGGCGCAATGGCCGACGGTGAGGCACGGTGAGAGCGCGGTGGCCGTCTTYCCCCCTCCTCCCGTACTCCTGTGGCCGCCCGGCCACCCACCATGCCGGGCGCCCGAGCCCACGCACTGCCCGCCGGGGCTGAGCGGCGCGGGCGGGAGCGGGACTGCCGCCCACCGCTGTCGTGCCGGCCTGCTCGGCCTCTGCTGCGCCTGCCTGCCCCGCAGCCTGCCCCACGGCCTGCCCCACTGCTTGCTGGCCTCCCTTCCTCCCTGCTCTCCTCTTGCCTGGCTGCCCCCATGCCCCTCGCCCACCATGCCGGCCTCCTTCCTGCCCCCCTGCCCACCGCCCTGACGTGCATGTTGCTGCATCTGAATCTGTTGTCTTTGTTTTCCTAAACTAAACTAAAGCAAATACGTAGAAGGGTTCTGAAGTTATTATACGTTGAAAAAAAGGTTTGTTTTCCTCAGGCGTGGGTGAGTCCCTGGCAGTGCTGGGCRTTGCTGCAGCTGGGGCCAGGAGGCAAAGCTGGGGTCAGGATGGTGCCAAGGAGAGGCTGCCAGCCCTGCAAACCCTCCTTGCAGTGACTCCAGCATGTGGCTAGTGCTTGATGTGCTGCTGATGTTTTTCTTTCTATTTGGTTTTAATCCAGGTGCCATTCTTGACATACCCCATCTGCTCTGTGCTTCATTACCAGGTCTTGGAGTGTATGAAGCACTGCCAAAGGAATTATTTGTGTTTTCATTTCCACTTCTTCAGGTATGAAGATCTCGCATGCTTTTATGTTTCTGATGTTCTTTTGATTGGTGTTAGTTTTGAAATTACCTTACAAATTATGTAAACTGAGTAGTTGCACCGATCTTGCAATAGAGTGTTGTCTTGCCTACAGTGTGAATTATAAATGTCGGAGTGCTCGTGCTTGGAGCAGTGGTTTGTGAGGGATCCTAGTGCAGCAGGTCTGGTACATCTTTGTACAGAGGTATACAGAGGTCTGGTACATCTTTGTACAGAGGTATTTCCCTGTATTTCCACTCTATTTCCCTGTAACCTTTGGGCTGTGCCATATTATTATGTACCATTACATTTCCATCTACTCAGTTCTCTATTTTGAGGAGCCTTGGTACTGTCCTAAGATACTGAATCTGATGCATAATGCAGCAGGCCAAGCATAGTTCCTGGATAATCCAACTACTGAAATTAGCATCTTTTGTGAAATGTGCATATTTTTCTCTGAAATAAATGCATCAAAGAAAGCAGCAAGAGGAGACTGGTGGAAGAAACCCCCTTTTCTAGTTCAGTAGGTATTCAGCCGTCGCTCAGTTCTGAATGCAGGCAAATACTTCACTGCTTTCTGAGGCCTTGCAGCTGATGACTTTTATAGCTCTTAACAAGAGAAGGCCTCTATCTATACTCCATCTATATAAAAATCCATATAAAAATGGATATACTCAGAAATCTTGGGTAGAGAAAGGAATATCTCAAGCCCCGTTTTACTGCTGAGTGAATGGAGTTATTGGCAGGCTGACTGAGAAGTTCAGCCAAGACAACTCAAGTGGGATTGTGAGTTCCCATGTAGACGTGTTCTGGTGCACACAGACCAGTCAATATTCTRGTGCTCCTGAGCAAAGAATAGTGTGAGTGGTTGGGTTGGGCTGTGGTTGTGGTAAAGGAGAGCTATAAYTCAGTGGCTGACAGACCTGGACGCAATTCCTTGCTCTACCATAGCCTTGTCCTCTGATTGGGACCTGACTCCTTAGCCTGTTTGGGGTGGTTTGTGTTGCATAATGTGTTATGTGGAGAACCTAGGGCTAGTGTAAGCTAAAACCTGGCTCTGTGACTTGGCACAGCGCTCTCTGGGAGCTCTCTAAACCAGCTGAAGATGGGGGCCTCCAGCACCAGGTTTAGTTTCCCTGCCTGCCTGCACTGCACCCTGTAGACTTCACTGCACTTGGAGCTGCTGGAGGATTGACAGTGCAGTGGATGCACACCTCTATTCCMATTCCCATCTGTAGTACTTTGATCCTGCTTCACAGAGCGGGGCAGAAGGTAAATAGGCTAGTGATTGGGAGGTACAAACTAGTGAAGAAGAATATAGATATGTGTGAGAAGGCTACCAACTTATCCCTATTTCATATAGATGCATATGAGTATGTGATAGACAAGTTATGGACAGCCTACTGCAAAGTCTCAGGCAGAGTTTCAAGCAGAACCTAATACTCCCATTTATTTTTCACRTGGCTCAGCATGAGACCTTCTTGCTTTCAAATGAAGGTAATGGTGACCTTCTGTGGAGCCAAGCCTTCACTTCCATTACTGCTGTGTTTGTTAAAGGAGCTTGCGTTTTCTTGGGGAACAAACAATGCCTGACTATAAATGTGTTTTGAACTCCTATCTTTGCCTTATCTGCTTCTAAAAAAGCAAACATGGAGCTCTAGCTGGTTATTGTTGGCCTGCTTACTTTTACATTATCACAACCTTGAAAGTACAGTGTGTGAGTTTTTGCTTTTGAATTGATAATGTCAGTGCTTAWAAGTGTTGCTTTTCAAATGCAAGATGAATCCTACCTTTTTTTACTCCTTTTCCCTGTTTCCTCGCTCTTTCCCATGCCCCAACTCCACCTACTGTTATTCTGCCTGGAGGTTTCAATTGTGTTTTACAAGGTCTAGATCGAGATGGAGGTTGGAAAATTTAATAGATGAAATAGAGAGATGGGTGTGATCTTTGGGGATTGGTGACAGGTTGTGGAAATGCAATGTGGAGAGAATGTGGTAGCTTCACCACTCAGTTCTCTCAGGAAAAATCACTGTAAGGAGAGACCTCCAAAAGTCTCAGCTCTCACAGGAAGCATATCTGCCTGCAACATTGCTGTTCAGAGGAAAGAGAGGATTTACTTCCCATCATTTGTGACTTTGGTGCAGCTACACTATCTGATGCTGCTACAGCTATTATGAATACCTAATACAGGGAAGGAGAGCAGGCCTTTTGTCTCAGTAGAGTGRAAGTATTACTAAAGTGTCGTGCTGAATGGTAAAATCATCGTCTCAGAAATGAGAGCATTCCCAGGAGTGCATACAGTGATCTGCATTGTGTGCTGCTTCTCGTTGGTGGGACAGTTCCCTGCCACCAGAGCCCACAGATGGGCTGTCGTAAGATTTGCTGAATCTAAAACTTTCTTCTGTGTATAAAAAAACCACTAAAATCCTGTTTTCAGCATCATCTGCCAGATCTTAGTGTGTTCTTGAATGGCTGAGTTCATGCTTTTTACAACACACTGCAAATCTGACTCCATATGAACCACAGAATTTACAGCAGTTTAGGAGCAGAGTGAGAATAGTATTTGATGAAGACCCATTGCAATCAACATTTTGGCATGAGGACACTGCAGTTGTTAGTGCAGCTGGTCTGATTTTTTTTACCAGAAGAGAGCTGCACGAGTCAGGATCAGTTTAGCAAATACTAAATAACMATGAACAGGTTGGCTGTGCTGCTGCTCAGGTGGAGTTCAATCCTGGTAATAGGAGCTGGCTTTCTGATTTTCTGGTTTGAATCTCCTCTGACTGTGGGATGTAGTCCTGGAATGCGCTGAGATGTGGCATGGGGTGGAGAAGCTGTGGCCATTCCAGGGGGCAGGAGACCTGGGAGCGGGATAGGAATCTTGCACGCGCTGACATCTGCAGACAAGGACGCTGGAAGTCCTGGGAGCTGTTTCCACCTCTGGCCGCTCTCTGGGCAGTGTGTGGCTGTTTGTGATTGCACGTCACAGCTGCTGTTAGTTGGTGAATAAGTCTTCACGAAGACGTGTCTTCTGAGCTGCGTGATTGAAGAAGGGAAGGTGAAGGTTTGGATGGAGCCCTAGGGCTTGCCCTGCTCTCCAGCAGCGGCTCTGCTGCTGCACTGACAGGAAGCACCTCAAGGGGCACAGGAAGAGGAATGGGCTTAATCTGAAACCTGGCAGCCAAAATAGTGTCAGCACCAGCAGAGCTGCTGCAGAGGCCAGCGGGGACAGCGTTAGAGCTGGGTGCTGTGGGCTCTGGGTGTTTCTCAGCTCTGAAACTCTTAAGCGTCCATCAGCCAGTTGATTTGCTTCCATGTTACTATGCCTTGCAAGGAGAAATTAATTTATAAGTTGGTCAGAGAAAAGCAGCTAGATATTAGTATCCCGTTAGGCATTCAGGCTCCGACGAAGGCCAATGCACAACTCTTCCAGAAGCGTTTCCAGCCAGCCAGGCCTCAGCCACTGTGGGACAGCTCCATGCGCACACGYGTCCAGCCGTGAGGGCGGTGGGCGCAGTGTTTGAGCCGGGCAGCYCCGGGCGAGCCGTGCGCGGGCGCCGCACCTGCCTCGGGCCTGTCAAGGCCCTGGCCGTGTCCCTGACAAGCGCACGGGCGCTGCTCTTGTCTGTCAGCCCCAGAACGACCCACGTGGGTCGGTCCCGAGCGCCGGGGACTGACACGGACAGCYGGGCTCCATGCGGCCCGTGCAGAGAGGTGCAGTGTGGACGTGCTGAATGCAAGCAGATGAGCTAATGCCTTTTAATTTGTGTTTCTTCAAGATGTTTCTGCCCTGATCTGGGCCTTCGGAAGTGTGACACACGTCGGTGCTGGGCACGGCCTGCTGTGGGACAGCCAGGACTCGCTACGCAGACAAGATGGTGGCGTTTAACTGGAAGGTGAGGATGTTTTGCATTTTTAAAACAGTGATGTTCTGCCCTTCCTTAAATACGTAGCTTAAAGATGCAGCCCTTGCCTACACGAAGGTGACTTAACCCCCTCACTGTCTCACCTTCAGGCTCCCTTCAGGTCCCCCTGTTGTCGTTTCCTATGGTTCATACTCAGCCCCGACCCCTGTTAGGGACTCAAGCTTTTGGACCTGAATGCATTGCTCGTGGGAAGGCTCTGCTCTGCTGGCCCCTGCTCTTCCAGGCTTTCCAGACTTTTCTCATACACTATTATATGGAAATTTCTCCATCCTGTGGAGAACATGCTGCACAATTCCGCAATCCTGTGRAAACATTTTACATGGCATGTGCATAAGGCACACTGATGTCATGTGCTAACAATTTTAATGGGTTTGATTAAAGCGTTTATCGTGAAAACAGCTCTAATTACAAGCCCTGGCTCTACCTGTATGGTGTTACAGAGGTGTGGTTAAAAGCGAGTGCTGCTTTTAATGTGTGSAGAGATTTGGAGAATATGTTTTGTAAAATTAGTGTGGAGAGACTTCCTGTCAGGGGTAACATGTGCAACTTGTATAGATGAGTGTTACAAAACCCCTTACTTGAGCACTCTGATATGTTTGCTTTGAGGGGAGGCCTCAATGGTGTACAGATACAAACTCTTCCTAAATCCAGTAGTTTCACAGTGATAAACAACTCTGGGGTGTTGGGAGGTCTGCTGGGGGTACTGGGAGACCTGCCAAGGAGAAGCATCACTGTGAATCTGCTCAAGGTAGGACTCATCCTGCAGGCCGAGTGTCTCTTAGGAAGAATGTGCTGAGATGTTCCTGTGCCTCTGGTACCTGCAATCCTGGTTCTGGAATTTACACCTTTCACTGCATTATTTTTGCAGCATTTGTATTCCAGTTTCACAGTACTACCCATACACACTCACAATGTAGCACACTTTCATAGCATTGAAACAGTTAGTGCAGCTTCATTAGTTCCAAGGGCTAAAAGCTCTTGAAACTGACTCATKGGATGTGAAGAAAGAGGCTGGGTTGGTTTTCCTTCTCTCTGGCTCAAAGACTCTTATATCTTCTAGATGTGGGCAAGTTGACTGCAAAACTCCTGTGGATTAAAATTTTTAGGAAGAAAAAAGGTATCCTCAGGCGTTATATCTGAGGGCAGAGATAAATGGCTATGTCATTCCTGGGAGCTGTGCAGAAGCATTGCTTACTTAGAAGTATTGCTTGCCTTTCGCCTTTTCCAAACAGCCAGAGATAATCACTGTTTCAACTCCAGATCCTGCTGCTTTCTCGTTTTCTGTAAGGCAAACAAATGGGACAAAGAGCCATTCAAAGAGGTTTCCTACACAAACTCAAATGAAGTAAACTTATTTTTGCCCTTTTTTCCCTAGCCATTGGTCTGCCTGGTTAAAATATTTTGTACAAAAGAGAAGTATTATTCCAGCTTGGAAAAGTATTGTTGCTCTAGGAAGCTGCATAACATCCCTGTAGATTCAATTTTAATTGCCCKAGTGTTCCCGTAACTGCTTAAACATATTATTTTGTATTTCAGGCTCTGGAGAATTTYCCATTGCTGATGTACATTTTGGCAGCTAAAACATTGATCCTTTGCTTAGCATTTGCTGGGGTCAAAATGTACCGGAGCAAGAAAATTGAGGAAAAATTGAAGAGGGAACGTGAAGAGAAATTGAAAAAAGAAGCAGAGAAAAAGGATGAATGAAGAGCCTCTCAGGTATAGAATTTATTTGACATCCTGGTGCTCCATAATGGCATTACTATGTTAAAGCCATTACATTTTGACTTGGATATGTTTGGATTACGCAGTTTAGAATTACCACRGTTATTTGAATTCTTGCAAGATTTGTGTCCACTGATGCCTCAGCACATTTGCATGCCCATATCATGCCCATTCTTTGAAAGAAAGCAGTTACCACCAGAAAAGCTTGATAAACATAATTTGTGATTTCAGAGAGGTGAGCGTGATATTCTTCTGCTGCTGTTTAGCTCCCTGAGTTTTTGTGCCCAACTGGTTGCATAGGATGTCCCAATACAGTGAGGAGGTTGTTAAACTGAGCAAAAAAAAATCCATGATAGATATGTCAGATAGGATGTCATAACAAGATTCCCTGGCCTTAATTACCATAATTAAAATGGAAAAGGATCAGACATTCCATGTTAGTTAAATGCATGACAAGTTGTAGGCAGTGTAGCCGGCAGGGCCAAATCTCATGCCACGGAGCTTCCTAAGATAATAGAAATGCTGCAGATTATGCAGTGTAATTTGTTCTCTCTATATATGTAGTTCGGTGAGAAAGAGGGAAATCTTTTTCCAGAAAGAGCAAAATGAGCATTGTCAAAGTTCAAAAAAGTTTGGGTTTAAGTTCCCAGTGTGCCAAGTTGCTTCCTGCTCTCTTCAAAGTGAGCTTAAGCAATCATCACCTCATTGGACTGTCCATTAGCAAAAGTCTGTTAGCAAAATCAGTGAATCAGTGTTTTCCAGCATTAGCATTATATTCTCTTCATTGCTGGCCGTGTGATTTTTTTATAATTTCATTTCACCTTACTCTGCATAAAAATGAGCATTCTCTTCCTACCTGCCTTTTGTAAGCTCAGTTGGAGTTTAAAGTAACGCTACTCTCTATTAAACTGGAAATCTTACTTTTTGCTTTTGAGTCCATCACCTTACATATGAACAGTTTCATTTTTTAGAAATTTTGCTAGCTTTGGTGCATTATTTCGTGCAAGAGGGACTGGAAACTGACTAGAAATCGTTACCTGGAAGTAACCATGGCAATGGAGCGATTCATTCCCATGGGAAAAAAACAACAGAAACAAAGATATTTTTCAGTCTCCTGTTTATGTCACATTGGGGACGTATCTCTGGGATGACCTGTGCCGTCTTAAGTTCTTATTTTAAATCAGTTTAGCTAGCAATTGGAAAAGCTCCGTGTGGACATCTAGTTTGTGCTGAATACATCAGATAAGGGTAAGTTATACGGAGTTCTCGTGCTAAACAAACGAGAGATTAGGCACAAGGGCAGGTTGCCCTGCAAGTGAGCAGACCTGCTTCTTTTACCAAGAAAATGGTGCTGTGCTGGGAGTGCAGCAGCAGGTGCCAGGGTGTTCTGCCTGGGAGTGTCCTTAGCCCAAAGAACTGCTCCAGTGGGATGTGGAGCTTGTCCTGTGGGTCTGGCGTGTGACATTGGCCTTTTGAATGAGTGACTTTAAAGAATCCCCAATTTCTCAGCAAATAGGCTAAAAATTCTCTTGGTCACACAGTGTTGCTACCGGAGGAGGCCGTTTCTAGGACTATCATCCCTGTCTGTCCTGGGCCTGCGGGAAGGCATGGATTCTCCTACCCTGAAAACCTTCTCTGGTGTCTGCAGTGCCAAGCCGCAATTAGCTCCGACTGCAGCGTGCCACATGGGCAGGCAGCTTTAGCCCATGTGCTGCCAGCCTAGCAGGTCTGCTCTTCTCACTGCTCTCTCCCCACCCTGCAGATTTTCTCTCTCTTGGCAGCTTCCTTGGATTCCTCTCCTGGGAGAATGAAGCTTTCCTGAAGATGAAGGATATTGCAAAGGAAATGAAGCCCTGAAGAGTAACATTCACTTAAATTGTATCTCCACTCTTTTTTTTATATACATACAGCAAAATACCTAAGCTTCTATTTATGCAATAAAAAATCCTTTGTTTAAAAAAAGAAAAAGTAATGGGCTTGGTTGCTGCTTACTACAAATGCTACAATGATTGCTGCAAGGGAGGCATTTTTTAAAGATTAGCAGCAAAGGGCTGGCAGATTTTAAAGGGGTARAAACCTCCGAATCCCTCATAGGTCTGTCTAACTGGAGAGACAGAAGGAAGTTGCAAGGTCTCTGCATCACTCCTTCAGAGGAACTACTTCCTGCAGGCMTGTACATCTGGGACTCAGGGGCCCTTTCTTGAATAATTGAATAATTGAATAATATTCATTAAATAAATAATATTTAATAAGTTCTGGAGGTGTCGGATAGATGAGTGGATGATGAGGTGAATTGAGAACTGGCTGCATGGCAGAGCTCAGAGGGTGGTGATCAGTGGCACTGAGTCCAGTTGKAGACCTTTGGTTAGCAGTGTTCCCAGGGGTCAGTCCTAGGTCCAGTCCTGTTCAATTTATTCACCAGTGACCTGGATGAAGGGACACAGGGCTCCCTCAGCAAGTTTGCTGACGATACCAAACTGGGAGGA